CCAAAACATCATTGGAAAGTCTCCCTTTGAAAACTGTTCCATAGGCCCCTTCTCCAAGTTTGTCCTTGAACTGATCTGTTATTCTCTTGATATCAACATAAGAATATCTTGAGGGTTTGAGAGCTTTGTAATCCTCCAAAAAATTTTCAATCTTGAGTTGGCCCTCTTTCTCTGCTTTATATGAATGGTGGACGCGGTAAAGTGCAAAGAGAATTATTCCAAGAAGACAGGAACCTAGGATTATTCCTGTAGCCATCAGTTGTTTCGGTCTATCTGTAAAAGATTCAAAAGTTAGATTCTTGATATGTTCTTCAAATCTATTACAATCTGATATGACAAAACCGAGGTATCGAAGTTTTTGGCCAATGGCCAGGGATGTAAAATTTTAAACTAGATGTTCATCTCAGAATCAAAAGAAAAAGCATTTAAAGCAACAGAACAAGTAAAGGCTAGAAAATTAAGGAAGACAAATGAACTCAGAGAGCATTGATGGCATTCATAACATTTGGAATTGTTAAAACTTAAAACCATACCTCTTTCTTTCTTTCTTTCTTTCTTGGATGGACCATAACACTCTGTCTCATCCTCTGTAGTACTATTATTTTTCTTCAGTCTGCATTTCCTGCCTTCCACTTCACATCTTCTGCAGTATGGTTCGTCCCAACTCAAATAAACATCCTTTGTCCGGTCATACAACATATCTTCAAATGTTTGTGTTACCGAAAGGTTTAATAACGTTCTGGTGCAATTTAACAAATTAACAACTTCACTAGAATCGGAAGGAAGAGCTAGAACTTGGAATCCTTGGATGCTTAGGCAAGGAATAGCGCCGTATTCATCTCTTTCTGTCATTTGTGCTTCGCCTGAACAATTGAAAATAGTGTATTTTTGAGGAATATTGATGTTAAGGCCGATTGTGTATCTGTTGTCCTCCTGGAAGGGAGATGCAGATAAATCATTGGGAAGCTGCCGCGCGAGGCATCCCTGGGGATCGTATAACTGAATCCACTGTGCTCTGTAATCTATATGCTTCACGAAGAACTTCACATTTCGCGACAGCTCTAGCACAGTTTGCTTTTTATCCATGCAGGATAGTTCGAATCCAGGATAGCTGCAGTTTTCCGGTTGTTGCTGCCCCTTAAGTCGGAATGGGAATCGGATGGTAACGTGATTGCATTTTGTGGGTTGGCATTCATCTCTGGCAGCATGGAGCTCTGTAACCCTCACTATCAAGATAAAGCAAAAAAGCAAAAGAATCATCCTGAAGAAACCTTCCATCCCTCAAGTCTTTGAATCCAAGATTCAGTGTGATTTAGGATACAATTATCAGAGCGGGCAGAAGAAGCTGTGTACCTTGTACAATGAGCACGAGGCTTTGGAAGGCGCAGGGAGGATTCGCGGACTTTAGATTTTTCAAAGTAGGAATTCATTTGTCATTAATTCTTCTATGAAATTTCTGCTATAGGACAAATATTCACCACACGATTGGCACGTGGGTTGTGGAGTTGGAGCCCCACCTCACACTTGTAATATCGTCCCCTCCGCGTCCCATCTCCGAATTAGTGAATTACTGTAGTTCAAAAAAAAAAAAAAAACTATGTAGGCTGTGGGGTAGACACGCGGCAACCTGATGGAAACTACTTCAGAGCTTCCGATTAGAAATTTCGCTGTGCTGGGTGTTTCCAGTTTGATTATTGGCCCGCTGAATTAAGTTTCATGGAAGCTGCAAATTGGGTAACAATTATGTGAAGAAAATTCTAGGATTCCTTTTTCCATTGAGGTTAAAAAGACATGTTAGGGGAATCTACTATTCCAATTAATCCTTTTAAAAATCAAAGTCAGCCAGCAGCGTACTGTGCAGCAACTTGAAGGCATCTTTATGTAGTCATCCCATCAGTTAAGGCAATATGGATTCTAGGTGTTTGCTTTATTGCCTTTGAGAGCCACCTAGTTTGCACTGGTTGCTATCTTCTTCTTCTGCCTTTTTTTGTGGGGGGCGTAATTGGGTCGTATCTGTTATCATCAGAGTTTTTCCTATATTATATCCTTTAGAAAACGCCATGCTCTAACACCCTAGCTTTAGGATGTTAGTTAGAGAAAAAATTGTTGCCCTCTTCGGCCTGATGGCCCTTTCTGTGTCTCTTTTTCCTGACACTTGTATGGCTGATTGCGTCCCTTCTTCCTGTGGAAAACTCACTATACATTTCCCTTTCCGATTACGGAGTGATCCTAAGAAGTGTGGTTACCCGGATTATGAACTAGTTTGCAAGAACAACCGCACCACTTTGCCTCTCAAATTTACTACTTTGCCTCTCAAATTTACTACAAACCAAAGTTTCTTAGTGGAGGAAATCTCTTATGAGAATCAAACAGTTCGAGTGGTGGATGCCAGTCTCGATAGGAATAAATGTTCCATTCCCTACCACTACGGTCTTGTTAAATCTCGACATTGGAGGGATACGTCATTTAGCCTAGAGCCAACTAGGAATAGCATCATGCATGTTCTAAATTGCAGGATGCCGATGAGTTCATCACTCTATGTGGATGCCTCTAGTTGCACCGATAGCTCTTCCTCTGCACACACCTACTTTTTTCTTTTCAATAGCCAAACAAAGCTTTCGGATTTCAATGAATCATGCAGAATTGAAGCTCAGTTCCCGATCATGCTATCCAATATCTCAGGCCTCTCTGCTTCTGATATTTACCTTAAGATGCTTATGGGCTTTGAACTGACCGGGTGGAGATGGTTCTGCAGCAATCACCGAAGTATACTTTGCAGTTCGCGCAGCTTGCGTGAGAAGATGTAAGTATTCAAGAATTTCTGAATATCTTTACCATGCACTAGGGATACCACCGATGTGTGGTTAGTAAATCTTAATTGTTGTTTTTACTGAAGTATACTTTTAATCAAACTTTATTTAGGATATATATCATCACTTTCGGCAAAGGAAAAATGAGAAAAATGTCAGAAAAGTTTAATGACGGACATAGAATAAATTTACTAAAGTTATAACCTGTTGACGGATCACCTAGATCCGCATGATTAAGCGTGGGATATAAAATATAGTTACTACATATTTTAAAATTAGGGTACTTTCAATTTATTTACACAAGGAGAAAGAAAAAATCCACAGCATTTTGCCATTTTTCTATAATTGAAGGATAAAAGAATGATCAGCTAAATATGTTTCTTCCCATTCTTTCTCATGATCTTGCAAACGTTCCTTAATCATTGTCCAGTTTTTACCATATCAAGACAAACATTAGGAGCCAGATAAACAGGAACAAATTCTGATTTTCTGTCTTGGATTAACAGTTTATTCATCAACCAGGTCAAGTGAAGCATAGCAAAATATTATTAATGAAGCATAGGCTTTTATTTTTTTAGGTTTCTCCTACAGTCTATTTCCCTCTAAATTCATCCAAATAATACCTTAGCAAACCTTCGAACCCACAAAACAACAAACCACAAATATCCTCGAAAATTAAACATGACGATTATAACATGTTTCATCCTTTATTTCAACGCCCCAGGTTTATACTGTCAGAGTTGAAAATTTCATCTCGGACAGCATTGAAAACCAAAATATTTAACACCAGGACAAAACTACTTCAGACTTCAATTTTATTGCAAGCTATCAAATCCCATGAAATTCCATACACTCCCTGATACTCATTCATACATCAATAATCAATAATCCCATATATTAACGTGATTTCAACAACCCAATAAAATAATCTCAGAATGATAATAATCTCACAAAATAATCCTAGAACTCAC